AAAAAAAAAACAGTGCTGCAGTGAACATCCTTGAGCACACCTTCTTATGCAAGCATTGCCCTAAGGTACGTCTGATAGGTGGAATGACTGGGTTGAAGAAATATGCACATGAGACATTTTAGATTCTGCCAAACTGCTATCTTCCATCCTAACTATTGTAAGGATTACATGACAAGTGTTTTGTAAAGTGCTATACGTACATATTTTTAAATTTATCACTCCCTTGGAAAATAACACTCTTCTATTTAGCCACCATGCATTATTACTTATGACAAATGAATCTTGATGATTTTACTATCTTGTACGTTTTTGGTGAGAAGCTGGGCAAAACAACAACACAAACACTATGTGTGTGTGTGTTTGTGCGTGTGCATGTGCACGTGCATATATGCGTGATTGTGTAGGGAGACTACATTATCTGTATGGCAGATAATCACGGGCATGACCTCTTGACTTACAGTGGCTTTGCCCACATGACCCTCTTCTTCTGTTAATGGATTCACCCTTTCTGGTACCGGGGTGGATGAAAATGTGACCAGCCTGTGCCAATCACTGCACTTCATTCCGTTGATCAGGATTATTGGTTAAATAATGACCTTCTATTACAGCTAAGCCGGTTGGAGTTGAGTTTCTGTCAGTTGCTAGCAGGGGTCCTGACTAATTAGGCTGATACACCTTCCAAATTATTTGCAAGAGTTTTTAAATGAGTAAAATGGAAACTTACGAGTAAAGTTACCACTGTCTCCTGTGTTCAGGAAAAAGGTTTGTCCCACAGCACTGGTTTTCCCCAGAAATTGGTCAGAGTAGTGCCCCATTTGGGGGCATCCTTCAGCTGGACAAGGGAAACAGCTATTCTGGTAAAAAAAAACATAATTTGCTTGTTAGTGACTGACAAACTGCTTGTTTGACTGACTCACTCAGTCACTCGTGGAATCACTCATCTTCCCATCCATCTTCCTATTTATCTACCCATGCACCCATCTATCCCCCATCCATCCTCTCATCTACCTGCCCATTGAACCGTCCATCCATCCTTCCACCCCTTCACTGACATGCATGCATTCATCTACCCATACATCCATGCATTCATCCTCAGAATCATGCACAGAACTGTATGAAGCCCTGCTATGTACCCAAAGAAGTACCCAGAAAACTTGGAGTATAGTTGCGTAGACAAGTCATATCCAGGAAGCAATAATATTAAAATATGGAAGGGAAATGCAAGACATCTTCCAGGAGGAATAAATGGGACAAATAAGTTACTTCAAAAGAGCAGAGGAAGAGAAGGTCTATGACCATCTTCACTTTAATGTGAATTATATAATTGATCCCTGTGTGATGTTTCCCAAATGGTAGCTCATTAGTTGGGGATGGAGGAGGTGGTTTGCTCTGTTCAGATCAGACTAACATTTTATAGTATAGTGTCACTGGTCTTCTGTTCTTTGCTCTCACCAAATCCATCTTCCATGATATGCAGAGCTATTTTGCGATTTGGAAAGCACAAGACACGTGCTGGAGGCTGGGTATATTATTATCCATGCCCCAGCAATAACCAGCATGGCCAAGGCTGCACAACAAATACTCACAGACCCTGGGGATTGAACATGATGCCCTTCTGATCTTAGTTCAACCCGAGAACGTTAAGGTCGAAATCAATTTTGAAAGGAAAACGTATGAGTATAAATATATTTTTGTTTTTACTTTTGAGAAAAAAATATTTTGAAGCCTTAAACGTTTGCAACTCCAAAGTGCTAACTGATTCGGGTAAGAAGCTCAACCCTTCGCACTGGTTTGTTGTTTCAGAACAGTATCACCTCAGAGATCACTTAGGGGAAATGGGACTTCTAGAGTGGAGAAATCTGGCAGATTTTTTTAATCTTAAACAAGTAATCAAACTGCAAGTCATCAAATAATAAGACAAAGTGTCACTAAATGAATGCCAATATCTCTGGTTGTGATACACTGAGGACTCGATAACACCCGGTGAATCACGAAGAAATAACCAGACAAATTCAGATTGTGGGCTATTCTACGAAACACTTGGTCTGGAATCCTCATAACTGTCAATGTCTTGGAAGACCAATGAAAGATGGAGAGCTGTTCTGGATTAAAGGAGCCTAAAAAGGGGGGTCCTGGGTAGCTTATCAGTTGAGTGTCCGACTCTTGGTTTTAGCTCAGGGCATGATCTCAGGGTCGTGAGATTGAGCCCCACGTCGGACTCCATGCTGGGTGTGGAGCCTGCTTAAGATTCTCTCTCCCTCTATCCCCTCCCTGCCTGCGCATGTGCACTCTCTCTCTCTCTCAAAAACAAAAAAAGAGAGAGAGAAATTAAAGGAGATTAAAAAAAAATGCAATGCAGGAAAAAGAAGGGAAGAAAGGAAGGGAGGGAGAGAGGCAGAGAAGAGAAGAAAGGGAGGGAGGAAGAGAGAGAGGGCGAATGAAAGAAAGAAAAAGAAAGACAGCTCTAGATGACATTGTTTGGATATTTGGAGAAGTTTGAATATGGACTATATATTAGAAAATATTAGTGTATCAATGTTAACTTTCTTGAACATTGTTCTAGAGGAGAATGACCTTGTTCTCAGGAGATGGATGTATTTATGAGTAAAGTCTTGAGTTTGCTTTCACATAATTTAGAAGAAAACTATACATATGCACACATTTACATGTTAACAATCGGTGCGTCCTTCTTTTGGCTCCTGTGTAGATTGGGAATCTTCTAGAACAAAAAGTTGGGATCTAGGGAAAGCCCAGTGGTCAGGTCCCACCCTGCTTCTGGGAGAAGGTCTCCCTGAGGCTCAGCACGTCCGGTCCCTCCTCCCGTTCCTCATGAGGTTACAGCTCTGCTCTGTGCCAAGCCACAGGGACAAAGCCCCCACCGCCCACAGGGCCACCAGCATCTTCCCCCAGCCCTGGTGTGACCTACCTCCTGAAACTCATTGTAGGAGGTGCACGGGTAGCCCAGGAAGCCGTCGGGGCTGAGGATGCTACTTGAGTAATACTTGTAGCTCCTTAGGTGATTGCAAGCCACAAAGTCTTGGGTCCCTGAGGAAGCAAAGGCCACCGGAGCTCACAGGACGCATTTCACTTTTGAAGGCTGAACCACTCTGACTGATCGAGGAATCCCCTCCAAGATGAGTGTCAGGGCACAGTCTGAAATACCTGTGACTGACTTGGACATACGTAGGCGCGAGGAGGAAATCTGGGGCCGGGCATGTAATGTGAAGGAATGGTGGGGGCTGGGGGCCATGCAGGGGGCAGTGAGAAATGTATATGCAGAGAGAGAGGGGGGGTGGGGTGGGGATAGCAATAGCCTTTAAGGAGACCCTACACGGCCCAGCCAGTCATTGCATGGTAAAGGCCCAGATTACTTGTTCTGATTTTTCACGAGTAGCTAGCATCTTGACTTTTCCATGAAAATCTTTCCATGCTCACATGGGAGCAGTACGTTCCAACTTTTAAATAGTCACTGTGAAGGCCAATCACATACTGCTGGGGGTTGCGTTCTGCCTGCAGGCTGGGCCTCAGTTTGCGAGCTGGACATGCCGGACAGGCCTTTTGAGTGAAGCAGGCTTACCCATGCCTTTGGCTCCAGGCTGAGAACTCTTTCTTTCCTACTATTCCAGGCACAAGGTAAAAGCAATGGACAGTGAGATTACTGTGGCCTCTGGCCACTCTGTCACTGCATTTTATTCACCATCTTTTTCTTTAACCCAAAGCCCTCTTGTTTGGAAAATTGTTTTTTCACTTCTCCAGCTACTGGGTACAAAACTTCCTATGAAGTGATCCCCGGCAACAGCAGACGTAGCTGGGGGTCCCTTCGGGGGCGGGGGTCTGGTGGCTTCATTCCCTGCCCAGGGAGAAAGGCACACTGGGAAGCAGCAGTGGGATTAGCTCCCCACAGCTCTGGGCTCTACATGCCCCCCAGCCCAGAAACTTCCTGCAGAAGCTGGTTCCGTGTGCCCCACACCAACGCTCATCTCCAGACAACAGAACTTGTTTCAAACGGAATTGTTTCTTTCATCCGAAACTGTTGCCCTGGGATCCCATCCTACAGGAGCAAGTAACTTTCACTGTCCTCTGCTCAGCCTGGGTAACTCGGAGCTCCACACAGTCCACACACACTCCAGTGTTCATGGGCTTCTTCACTCTAAACGGCCTTTTTAATTAAACCTGGGCTCCCATTATGTGTGGCCTGCTCGGCACTTCCGGGAGGGGGCAGCCCTCCCTGTGACTCTGGTGGTCTCCCAGGGAGCAGAACAGCTGTGTCTTCCCCGGAGTAACCTGGCGCGGAGCCCTGAGGAGGTTAAAGCACCATGTACTGTCAGTGGATATCGCCTGTGGCTTCAGCAACCCTGTTCTTTAACATCAACATATATAAATGTTGATGTTATATAAAATATAAAAATGCCACCGAAGGTCACTGAGCCCCGTGTAACGGACTTGCACGGTTGCTTGCTTCGGGCTAGACCCCGGTGCGTCTGGGAGGTCCCTGACACATTCCCTGGCTTCGGGGAACTCCCAGCTCAGACAAATAAATCCTAAAATGAAATGATCACAGACTCAAAGCCTCCACTCTCAGGGAGGACAGTGAAGCCCGGTTTCAGGGCTGGGCGACAAGAGTAGCTGAAGGTCAGAACAAGGGCAGCGAGCCCAGATGATGCTTTAGGTCACCTCCTATTCGGGGCACTGAGCCCGCCCTCTCAGATGAACAGAAGTCCACACAAGGCTCATCCCCCAGAGCCCAGGCCTCTTGCTTCCAGCACACTCTCCCCAAACCTGCAGAGCACGTCCCCCTCTTTGTCTTCCTACCAGCTCAGCTCCTTTCTGTGCCTAGAACCTGACCAGAGCAAATGGCAAGAAAGTCTAAGCCGCTCAGATCTTTGTTTATACCCAGCGAGCAGTCCTTCAAAGAACAGGCACGGAGGACGGAGGGCCAAAACCCAAGCTGGGCCTTTGCCAGTGGGCTGGTCCCCTCCTGCCTCAGCATCCTGACAAGTGGACGACGGTGCAGGAAGGGGCACAAGGTCGGGGCTCTGCAGCCAGAAGTTGGGCTTAAATCTAGGGTAGCCTTGGGCAAATTTTGTAACTGTACTGACCCAGTTTCCTCATCTGTAAAATGGGGCTGATGAGAGTAAAGACCTCATGTCATTGTTGTGGAAATGCTTGGCACAGAGCACGCACCGTTTCTCCCCAAGTGGAACAGGAGCTGTCTTGCTTCTCTAACTTACGTACCTTCCCATAGGCCATTTATGTCAACGATGGTTGAAAGGATATTTTTCTGACATCCAGGCATTTGCTTTCCTCCGTTTGGATAGAAATCCAGATGGCCCACCTTTTGGCTCATTCCAAAACCTGAAATATTGTAAGCAGAGGGGAGCAGGGAGGTGAGTGGTCCCAATGGTAGGCTGTGGTCACAGACAGCGTTCAGCTCCTTCCAGCCACAGCGAGAACCTTCTTGGCAAATTCTCTCCTCGGCCTAGCCACCCTGTCTGTGGCTCTGCAGAAAGTGCTCAGAAATGGGCACTTGGCAAGACTTCAAGAAGGGAAGAGAGCACACAGGAAGAGAGATGAGGGGGAAGGTGGGCTCTGGGCGAGCATGCACACAGGTGTATTGTATGTATATGTGTGTCTGTCTGTCTGTCTGTCTTGGGGAGACCCTGAGCGGTACCATCATGCCCTGACACCACTATGTACCAGCAGATACATATCAGGACTGGTGCAATTTTTATTACCGTATTCATTTAAAAATTTTTACTTCTATGTTATATTGTTATGCTGAGACACATTCCATTATGTTGCTATACTGAGAGCCCAGCACAATGGTAGGAGTTTTGGTTTTTGAAGCATATAGACCTGTGATCACAACCTGGTTCTACCTATAGGCTCTGTCATGTTGGGCAATTACTTGGCCTTGACCTTGTGGAGCCTCCTTCCCTCTGGCAGTGAAATCGTAATAATAATACCCACTTTTTAGGGTTGTTACGATTAATGAGCTGATGTATACAAAATGTTCAAAGCAGCGCATGGTAAACACTCAATAAATGATATAATTTTCATTAAAAACATGCTTTCACTGGCACGTTTTGTGAGTGGTTGTATAAGAATATAATGAAAAAAGAACATTGACTTTAGAAGAACTAGATAAAAGGATATATTTCATCTCCAACAAAACAAACTGTTAGTAACCATAGCTTTGACAAAAGAAGTAAAAAAAAAAAAAAATTCAAAAATTAGCTTTTGCATTTTGCCGGTACAAGTCAAACATCAATAAGAATTTTAACTGTCCCTCTGGATATTGGCAGATTGAAAGGACTAAAGATTTGAAGACTGATGACAGCCTTCCAGGCTGTAGAAGTGTTTTTGGTTCTACCTGGGCCAGCAGGCAGTTCGATCCCACTGGCACCGTCCTGCCTGTCTGTGGCTGGTGCCTGAGGTAGTCCTGTGCTTAGCCTTGTGGTATGCGTGTGGGGTGCACCTGGACCCACTCGCATCAGTCACAGCTGGTCACCAGGAGGTGCAGTGGGGAACCCACCTAGGAAGGGGATGATGGGAGCAGAATCCGTGTGAATCACATCCACAAACATGGCATCAGATGGGTCCAGCCGAACCTCCTCAGACGTGCCCTGGAAGCATGGCTGTGCGGGGTCCAGTCCTGAAATGGGGGAGGTGAGTAGTTAGGCCACACTCTAAGACGAACCAGGCTCTAAACCCTCTACCCACAAAATCCATGGGGATTCCTGGGCCAAGAGTCCCAGACCTCAGCAGCCGTGACTTGGGGAATTGGGTCTGTAGCTCCCGGTCTGCTCAGGAGAGAGAAGTTGAGATAGAAAGGCCAGAAGTGGGGTCACTGACTGTCAACAAACATCCAGAAGTCCCCAGTGCCTGACTCTGAGCAGGATCTAGGGGGCCCCCTTGCCCCCTCATCTCCTTTGTCCTTTTTACCTTCACCTGTTACTATTCGGCCACAGCTCTCCAAGACTGCAAGCTCCCTGGCCTTGCCCAGCTCCACTCAGTCCCCTGTCCCCACAGTCTGTCCCCTCCGGCTGCTTACGCTACCCCCACCCGCTGCTCACTTCCCTACATCCTCCCCTAATAAATCTCTTCTCTCCAAGACTGGGCTCAAACACCACCTCCTCAGGGAAAACTTAGCCTCTCCTTTCTCAGCGCACACCACCAACTTTGTATAGGATTATTTTGTGTTTAATTAATTTGGCTCTGAATTGACTTGCCTACTTAATCTTCTGCCTCCTGGACTAGACGGTGGATCTCCTGAAATGCGCTGTGGCCACTTCATCTTTGAAGAGAGGCAGAGGGTGGAACCCACCGGCACCCGGGACTCAGGCACCTATATTTAGCCCTGGTTTTCTGCTCAAGGTCAAACACCTGTCCGCTCTGAGCTTCAGTTTCCTTGTCCGGATGGTGGGAATAACAACCACTCTCTTACAGGGTTGTTGTGAAACCCCCATGAAAAGGTGGAAGAGAAAGGACTTTGCAAACTGAAAACCTCTACAGAAACATGAACTATGATCCCCTTATCCCTCCCCCGACACCAGCACAGCACCCCGAGCAAAGGAGACATTCATTACATTGTGAATTGAACTGTTTGCCAAAGCCACATGCTGATTTGCCGGCACAAAATAAGTAGTTGTCCGTGTCTGTCTTGTATGCGTTCATTTTTGCCAAGTGACTCATTCATTTATTCAGTATTTACTGAGCACCTCCGATGTGGCAGGTTTCAGGTGGCCACTTCTCATTCTCTGCCTGTGCATGGCACAGCACACGTATTTGCGGCACGGATGAATTAATTTTAAAAAATCAGTTTTATTATTATTATTATATTACTCCTGCAATAATAACCCTGAAGTCAGGCGCTTAATATTCTAGTTATAGTTTTCTTTTTAAAAAATAAATGTATTTTTATTTACAATCAGGTATTTTCTAATACACATGAAAACACGGACAGTTACCTTCTGATTCCAGTGGGGGCGCCACCTACCCCCCACGCCCGCTGGCGGGGGAGGGGTGCGCGCGGCCGGGGCCC